CATTCTGCTAAGTGAAGTAAATCAGATAGAGAAAGACAGCAAAACAACATACAATTTCATTCAGATGTGGAAGATTAAAAAATATATACCAACAAATTCCTATAAGAACTAAATGATGGTTACTCAAGAGGAAATGGGAAGGATGGGTAAACTGTATCAAGGGGGTCAGTTGTGTGGTGAAGGAAGGAAACTAGACGTTTGATGGCCTCGTAATTAGGATACACAGGGGTTGAGTTATAATATGTACATCTGAAACCTCTGTAATGTTTTAAACCAATGGTACTTCAATAACTACTTTTTAAAATATATATTCTTTGCCTTCAGGGGGCTTTCAGGTTAGTATGAGAGACAGAAAAATGAAAATATACTACAAGATAGTGTGATAAGCAAATCAATAGAAGAGCCGAAGTGCATAAATGGATATGATAACTCTATTGGAGAGAAAAGCAAGGGAAAATCTTTCTGGAGAAAGTGATTTGAAATTAGATTTTTTTCAAAGGTGAATTGAGTTAGCCCAAAGAAAGAAGGAGAAAGGAAAAGGGGAAGGAAGTGAGGCATTATAGAATCTAATTAAAAACATAATTAAATGGGAGTAAAACCAAAAATGGTATGTCAAAGCCAAAGAAGTATGAGATATCATGGAATAGAGAGGAAATTTGGGCAAGTCTTTGCTTCCAATGAGTATAAAATAAGGGTAGAAATGTTGGATGGAAGGAGACTCTAGAATGGTAAGCAGGGATGAGTCATGTAGTAAGCCATAAAAACTTTAAAAGGGTTGCCTTAAAATTTTTACATCTTCAGCATCTCTTCTGCCAAAGGTAGACCTGAGCTCAGCCTTCACAAAGCATCTTGGAAATAGCTTGTGTCCATTTCCTCTTGGTCAGCCTGGTTAGAAAGGACATTTGCGCTCATATGCAATGTTGAGACCCCCTCTCCATTCTGATTCCCTGCTATCCTTCCCGTCCAGCGCATCCTGCACACTCGGCAGCTGGAATTGTCTTTCCACTTACAAAAATTTTGGAATCCACCTCAGCGTACCTCCACTTGAATCCTCTATTACTTTTTACCCAATGACTTTCATGTACATTATTTGACTTAATTCTTAGGAAAATTCTAGACAACCTGTTACTCACTACAAGATCATTAACTCCAGTTTCCAGAGTGAAAGGGGAAGCCAGAGAACATAGGTGAACTGGCCCCAGATCATTTAACGAGGTAGCCCAGAGTCACAACCTGTCTCCTGCAACCACAGGAGTTTCTGACTGTTGCTTTAAATTTGGAGTATTCTTAATACTTCATGAAGTGAGAGTAGCAGAACCATAATCCTAAATTGTTATGAGGAGTGCAGTGGGTGATAGGATTTTATTTTAATTGTTTTTGAAGATAAGCACTGAGAATTGCAGGCTGGTGGGGGGAGGGGGGAGGAGAAGGGAACTTTTTCAAAGGTTATACTCCATTAAGACAAAGCACATGTGAATGCCTCTTAAAATATAGAGTTCTTAATTTTAATGCTTCTTTTTTGTTTTCTTCTTTATGTTAAGCAACATTAAATTAACCCTGGTTGGAAATGGACATTATTGAAGCCTTTCCCAAATGAGCTTACGCATAGAATAATCATTTGCCTATTCACAAAGAACTGAAAATGCGATTTCCCTAAACACAGACCATTCAGGAGGAAACACTTCCAGTTAAATGAACAATTCGTGTCTAAATCTTAAATAAATTAGGAATAATTGGGTTCTCCTCACCATCTTCTGTTCAGAGTTTACTCAGACATAAAGGTACAATTTTTTAACCCCAAGGATAGAATGTTTACTTTACCATTGTGATGAGGAAGACTAGGCCAGGCAGCATCCTTTAATAATTTTGGCAGGTAAACTTGAAGCTAACATAATACTCAATCTTTTAATATTTAATCATACTACTTACACAATGTAGATTTTAAAATTCACACTTGGCGGGCAATTTTTAAAGAATGTCAGTTGTATGACAACTCTGGCTATACCTCAATGAGGGAATTCTGGAGAATTTCACAAAAATTAATCAAATTGTCATAGAAAGGTAGAAATCAGACAAAAGAGAAGATTTTATTTCCCTGTAGAAGTGTATGTGTTTGTTTACTCTAGCGTGTTCCCAGCAAACACCTTTTTAAAAAACTCACTGAGAGGCATCCTTGGCTGCAAGCCCCGTGGTCCTCATTAAAATGGATCCCTCCCAATGGCACACCTGGTACCTGGTCTCTGCAGCAAGTACAAAGGCCAAACCCTGCAAACCCTCCCTGAGTGCAGAATCTGGCCCACACGTGGTGGCGAGGAGTAATGAGAGGGCTGGCGATGGTCGTCGCAGGTCACCGACAGCTTTCCACGAAGCCTCCACAGCATCCAGCAGGAAGCTTGTCATTGCTCCCTCTTAGGTCATAGTGATTTATCAACATGGGGTTCATCAAATTCCCAAAGCCAGAGATTTTTAAATCTCCTTCCTTTTTGTGAAAGGCACTGTCACTTACTTTGTCTCAATAACTCTTTCCATTTTGATGGCTAACCTGATATGGCAGCATAGGAATATTCTGGGAGCTGAGGCATCTGTTAATTAAATACTCCTAACAGCCTGGAAAATACTGATTTATTTGCCAGTCTCCTCTGAACTGGAGGGTGAGCTAAAGGAGGGTAATCTCTTAGGTACATTCTTCCCCTACCTGCAATAACACTCTCACAGGAAGTAAGAGTATTATTGACATGAGGCAAAGATGTAGAAAAGCCAGTCAATTATATGCCATTTAATCATTCATGGGGGTGGGGGGGATGACATAGAACTGACTAGGTGAGACCTGACAATACAAAAATAAACCAACCAATCACAATTCCTCAAGATCTCCCCTTCTGGTCCGGGTCTTCATCATTCTTTCACTTCTGAATGAGCAAACTATCAGACATATGGAGCCATTGCAATAACCAGCAATCCCCTTCCTCTTACTTAGGCATGATGTTATACTATATATTTTGAGCACCAAAACAGTAGATGTGATGTCTAGTCTATATGCTAATAAAAAGATGGGACAAAACCATCCCTTTTCAGAAATTTGAAAGCATATTTTAAGTGTGCCCTGCATTTTACTAGACTTTGGATAAGAACTCTAGATGCTGAAAGGAATTTAACTGCTGGTATTTTTCTTTATAATTGATATAACATTGGTTCACAACACTGCATGTGATTTAGGGTAACAGACCTACATATCACCACATCACACCTACCACCAAAGCACCCTTACCCCTATACCATAGACCTTTGGGTCCCCACTCTCCTTTATTCCTCCCTCCACTTTGCTCCTCAATTTTGTAGTCATATTCCTCAGCTTAGTTTGAGTTTAATTTTATTGGTTGCTTCCCCTCCACCCCCCACCCATATTCCACATGGTAGTGAAAACATCTGGTATTTGTCATTTTCCTTCTGACTTATACATTTAGCATCTCCCCTCCAGTTCCATTGATGTTATCATAAATGGAAAAAATGTATCTTTATTATAGCTGAGTAGTATTCCATCATTGATAGGTACCACATCTTCTTAATCCATTCACTTGTTGGACACTCAGGTTGTTTCCAAGGCTTGGTTGTTGTAAATCATATTGCAATGAACAAAAGAATGCAGATATTCCTTGAATTAATGTTTATAAATTTTCTTAATAACTAAGAAGAATAACTATCATATGGTAGATCTATTTTTAATGTTTTGAGAAACCTCCATACTGTTTTCCATAGAGGCTGGACCAGTCTACTTCCTACCAACACTGCATGAGGATTACTTTTTCTCTACACCCTTGCCAAAATCTGTTGTTTCTGTGTCTGGTTTTATAATATGGGTCATTCTCAGAGGTGTGAGGTGGCATCTTATTGTGGTTTTATTTTGCATTTTCCTGACATTAAGTAAGATGCCTGTTGGCCATCTATATGTTTGCTTTGAAGAAGTATTTATTTAGCAGTTATGCCCACCTTTTTATTGAGTCCTTCATTTTATTGAGCTGTATGAGTTTTTTTGTAGCACGTGGGTATTAGCTCCTTGACAGATATATATGTGCAAATATTTTCTACCATTTGTTAGAGTCTTTTTACATAAGAACTATATTTTCTTTCACTGTGCAGAAGCATTTCAATTTGATGTACTCCATTTGTTTATTTTTGGTTTTATTTTCCTTGCCATCAGAGTCAAGTCTCCAAAGATATCACTAAAGCCACTGTCATGAAGTGTTCTGTCTATGTTTTCTTCTATTTGTTTTTGTTATTTCCAAGTTTATATCTAAATATTTAATCTGTTTTGAGTTAATTTTTGTGTATGAGATAGATAGTAGTCTAATTTCATTCCACATATGGCTATTCAGCTTTCCCAACACTATTTATTGATGAGAACTTTCTTTCTCCATTGTATGTTCTTGGCTCCCTTATTGCAGATTAATCATCCATATAAATGTAGGATTATTTCTGTGTTCTCAATTCTATGCCATTGGTCTGCATGTCTTTTTATTTCAACACCTTACTGTTTTGATGGCGATAGTCTTGCAGTATAGTTTAAAGCCTGGAAATGTGATACTTCCATTCCTCTTTTCATTTATATTAACATTGATTAGATTATTCAGGTATTTTGCATTTCCACATAAATTGCAGTAATGTTTTCTCTATTCTTTGAACAATTCCATTGAATTTTTCCCATGGAAATTTTGATATCTTTGCATTGAACCTATATACTGCTTTGGGTATGGCCATTTTAACTATGTTAATTTTTTCATGTTTTCTATGAAGTATATGCAATCTTTATGATTAGTCAAAAGTAATAATGAATCAGGCCTCTGGCCTTCCTCATCCATCTGGTCTTCCTCACGATGCTAGGAAGGGACAGTTTAAAAGTTGATTTGGTCACAAAGTTATCTAAAATGTAATTCCTACACTAATTGAAAGCCTGGTTTTGAAGTATGCATCTGTCACTGTTTGTCCTCCTGATTTCCTTTCAGACGTCCTGCTGGTGAGGAAGAGGTATCCCTTTTATTTGTCTGGTCAGAAGGAGTCCTTGAATTTACTGATGCCACAGACACTCTGAGACCTTTCATGCTCTATGAATATCAGGTGAGAGCCCACAATTCCATGGGCTCAGTGGAAAGTTCATGGTCGTCAACCTGGACTCTGGAAGCTCCACCTCAGGACCTGCCAGAACCATGGGCTCAGGCCACCAGTGCTCATTCAATCCTGCTCAACTGGACAGAGCCCAGGTCTCCCAATGGCATCATCTCCCAGTACCATGTAATCTACCGGGAGAGACCAGATGACCCGACAGTTAACGTCTCTATCGTGCATGCCTTCACAGTTACGGTAAGAACTTAGAAAAGATAGAAGTTGTTTATTTTATCCGGTTAATATACTGAAATTCATTTTGTCATGTAAAAATCTTTCATGTGTGGACAGATGCTATACACTGAATTGAATACAAAGGATATAGGGGATTGGTTTGCAAACCACAGATAGCTATTTAACTTCAAATAAGACTTTGTCCTTGCAAACCCACATAATGTATTTCCAAATCTGCTAAATGGGAATGTCAAATACATTACTCTATACTTCATGGAGGTGAGTCTCAGAAAAAATTAGACATATCTAGATATAAGTAAAATTATACAGGTAAAGATACAAATATAATAGTGACCATATTGGCTCTGGGAATGAGAAAGTTAAATTTCTAGATATATCTTTTAGATACATAGTTACAGAGGTAGGTAAATATATAGAAACATAGATGTAAATATATATAAATATGTGAAGTAGATGTAGTTCTAGATGTCACATGCATGATAGCTTAGTGGTGACTTTTCTGGGTTGACTACCTTTGACCCATAACACAAGTCAGTTCATCTGGTGTCTCCAAAAGAATCTGCTGTTCTATGGGAGAGACAAAACCAGATGGGCCTTTTGTCAGGGGACTTTCTATAGTATCACAGAGATGAGAATAGAGCATAGGGAAGCAATGGGAGAAGTAGTGGGTAATCTCCCATAACACCACATTCACTGGATTTACTTCCCACATGTTACCACCAGTCAGCTCAGCTGTAAACCTCACTGCCAGAAAGAGAGGCACTGGGAGTCAAAGTGCTCAAAGTGGTCTGGAAGAACAGCAGGAATCCCTCACGGTGGTGAAACCAAATTTATCCACAGGATTTCTGAAATGTGCCAAGAACAAACTAAAGTCCCTCAAAATTAAGAAGGAACAGACAGCATAGAGTATTGTTTTCTTTTTAATTTATTTACTTTCTTTTAAAAAATATATTTATTACACCATCCTTCATTTTTTGTACAGTTTATGATTTACCCATGAAATTCCCACCAATTCACCGTGGACCATCACCATAGGGCCCTTTTGCTCTTTCCACTCCTATCCTGATCCTTCACCACCCTCCTCTCCTACAGAATGTCTCTGATATACAGTTGCCTGATTATTTTGATTTTAATTTTATTATAAAATTATAAAGTAAAATTATGAAAAATAAAAAGTAAAATTATAAATTTTACTTTTTTATCCTGATCCCTTATATGGTTCCTCTACCTTCCTCTGATAAATGAGACCATTCGTTACTTTTCTTTTTCTTTCTGACTTATTTCTTTTTTTTAATGCCCAATATCCTTTTTCTTTCTTTCTGACTTATTTCACTGAGCATAATCCCTTCCTGCTCCATCTATGTTGCTGTGAATGACATGAGTTTATCCTTTTTGATTGCTGAGTGATATTCCACTGTGTAAATATACCACATCATTTTGATCTAGTCATCTATTTTGAGACATTTGGTTTGCTTCCATATGTTACCTATTGAACACTGTGCTTCAATAAACATAGGGGTGCAGGTGTCCTTTTAAACTAAAAAAAAGCATTATTTTCAAAGACCACATCATGTCTCCATGCTTCCAATATAGACAGCTTTGTTTATAGGGTAAACTGTCTTATAGAGTTTAACTTTTGTCAAAATATCTAAATAATACTGGGAAAACACAATATTTAGGGATTTATTTTTTTTTTTGTCAATGAAGTTTGCCATCTTTCCCTACTGTGCTTATACTCTTTTTTCTCTAGGACTAAAATAGTAGCAACAAGTAAGTTAAGTATTAGATGATAATACTATCAAAATTTTATCTAAGAATTGGTACTTTATTTTTTATTTGACATTTAGTCAGCTTTACATAAGGGTCTTCCATATTCTCTAGATTCTTCATTATAAGTATTAGCAGCAATGTTCCTAAATATACATCTTTCTTAGCTAATCCTTAATATATCTCAATTACATCTCACCATATCCTTATTAAGCATGATTTAACTTCCACCCTAAAAATAAATACTGAACAATAAACTAGACACACTTAATAATCCTTTGACGAGAGCTTTCGTAAGGACCTACTTTGATTTAAATATATTTGTTGAAGGCTCCAGTACTGTAATGATTAAACCTGTAATCTTTTAGGGTATGAGTTTTGGGGTCTGAATCTAAACATTCAATCTCCCAAGACCATTCAATTGGAATTCCCTTGTAGAATACCCTGTAAATCATCCCTTCATTGCTAGTTTTATTTTCCAACACAAGACTAAATTCTATCCCATGAATTCTGCCCTACCTCTAATCTGCTAATTTCTCCCTTCTCCTGGAAGGGAGAAGGCCGACAGCCCTAAGCTGGAGGCTTCCAGGCCCGTTGTACATGGGACCTCCCCACTGGAGCTTCCCTTCTGCCAGCCTGTCTTGGCCTCCACCTTTCATTTTCCGAAAGACTAGTCCCTAGTGCTACAGAAAATAGACAGGATAAGCAAGAAGCAGTAGTATTTCTGATTCCTGTTTTCAATTGTGCATATGTCTGTGTGTGTGTGTGTGTTGTCTGTTCAAGGGGCCCCTGAAAATCTTAATCTGCCCTGAGAATTCCCAGAGGAAACTTCATTGGTCTCATTGGCAAAGATTCCATTTGAGTTTTAAGCTAGGGACATCTTTCTCAAAGCAGTATCTACCAGTGTTCAGAAGTTTCCAGGCAAGGGGCTATGGTGACTATGGACTGACACCTCTTAAAAAAGATCAGGAAGAAATGCACCAACTGTGTTTCATCCATGTCCACATGCCTGCAGAAATGTGCTCAGTCTTTTTAAAAGAGCAAAAGATGCCTCAAGAAGGAGTTTCTACCATGTTATTCCAGTTGCTGGTCATCAGAGGAGCGTGTTGCTTTTCTCCTAGCCAGCCACCCCCCCACCCCCACCTCCCTATGCCCCCCACTCCCCCGGCACTTGAAGTCCCTCTCATTCAGCTCAGCTCAGCTGCTCTATCACATGGGGCCCCCGGGTCGAGAACAGATTATTGACGAGTCAATCCAAGTTGGCAAATAGACATTGAGCACTATATTCAATATGTCAATAGTCGATCCCGCGCTCGTCTCCGTGGTGACGTTTGCCACAGCCTTCAGCAGAGCAGAGTCTGTGGGAAGAGCGGCACATTAGAGACACAGATGGTGCCTCTGCTGAGCATTTCAGATTTCTAGATTTCTTTGCTTCTGCCTTTCTCAGCTCACATCTTGACCAATCCCTTGTAAATCTCTCTTGCAGGCCTTCCTGACTCCACTCACTACTTTTCTGACGCCTGCACCAGCCGCACACCTTCACTGTCACCTTCTCTTTCTGCACCTGCCCTAGGAAGTGTTTTCAATTTTTGTTTCACTGACAGCTTTGGCCAACATTGTCTAGTGCCAACCACCCACGTGTGCCATTAGGGGAGCACAGATTCCATCCTCACCAGGGCTGGGACGGCTCACTCCACAGCCCTGCGAGAGGACTCGCCCATGCCCCTCCTGTGGTCGCTGGCATCCTGGGATGCCAGCTCTGCTGGGCGCCCACTGCTAAGTCGCCCAGAGTGTGGTGCCATCATCAGCTTGTCGCGAGGGTCCCCGGATTGTTGATAGACAGGTGGACGTCGGTGGGAGAGCCACAGAAAGCAGGTGCAGTGGAGGCATGCGCCTTGCGGAGGTGGCAGTGGATGGAGAACTGGCAGTGGGGGCCTCCGTGGGGGTGGAGAGCATATGTGTTGGCAGGAGCAGCGGCAGCAGCAGCAGCAAAGGCAGCAGGAGAGGAGAAATGGAAAGTGTGTGTGTTTCTATATAATCACCTTCTTCCCCAGCCTCAAGAAAAGTTTCAGCTTCCTTTGGGCTAAGTAGATCTTTCTAAAGGGGAGAGAGAGTCTCGGGGTCTTCAGGCCAGAGCCACCCAGTGCTGAAAGCAAGCGTTAGTTGAAGCCCTGAAACCCTCTTCCCAATCAGCCTGTGATAAATTGCACAGCGTCAGGAGAGCAACTGTATTTAGCCTGGCTTGGCACGAGAGAGTTCCGTGGTGGTGTTTACAGGGAACACTCCTGGTGAGCGTGGCGGTGTTGCAGCCACTGTTCACATTTGTTTTCTGTTTCTCACTGGCACCTGCCTTCACACTGGCAGAACTAACTTGGGATTTAAAGGTGAAGGTGGTTTACCTGTTAGTCTGTGCTCTCTGTGGGTCCCTGCTTCCCTCACAGGATAGGAAGCTCAAGCCCAGTTCAGACCTCCCTGGAAGAGATGGCCCTTTGCTCTGTGTGGAGAATCCAGCGCCAGCACTGAGGGGCAGCACATTAAATGGGTCATTGAAAGGTGGTTTCCCATCGGGAGATAATATCCAGAATGACAGTCTCTAGTTTCTAAATAAGAGTCGCCTAACTCCTTTGCCCAGTGTCGAGAGGGAGGTGTTCCAAATGCCCTCCTTGGTTGCCTCATATCTTTTTACTATTAAGTAGATGTGTGGGGAAAAAAATGACAAAGAAATACTCATAATTGCCATATTATGGAGAGTTTGTAAGCAAACTGATGAATTCAGGTTTAATCCCATTTTCATTTTGACTTAGTATAATGTAAATATTATTTCTCTTGACATGGAATCTTAAATTAGTCCTACTTCTTTCAGTTGGATGGTTCTCAGCCTTTTCTTCCCAGATCCATACATTAAAGCACAGAAACACTCTGAGAGACCCGGCTAGCTAGAAAGATCCTGTTGGTGTCTGTCTTTCCAAAATGAAGAAAAACTATAAGTAAATAACAAAACAGTTACCATACTTTCTGAATCAGTTCTATAAGCTGAGATATTTCACACTTTATAAAATGTATCTCGTATTCTCTTATTAAAAATATAAATAATGGGTGTGAGAAATGCCCCCCAAAACAGTGATTATTTGGTGGTTTTCCACCTTTTTTTTTTTTTTTTTTTTTTGCTATATGATGTTTTTAATTTGCCATAAACTTTGCCTTTTGGTCTTATGTTTTTTTTTTCCCCCTCTTTT